TGGAGATTGCTTTCTCATGTTGTGAGGTATCGAAATTCGTGCTATCTTTTTTTATTATTTATTTATTTACATGTAGTGGAACCTATCACTTGTTGTGTCTATAGCAGGAGATTGCTTTCTCATGTTGTGAGGTATCGAAATTGTGTTATATTCTTTTTATTATTTATTTTTTTAACAAGTGGTGAGACCTATCACTTGTTGTGTTTATAGCATGAGAAGTGTTATCTCATGTGAGAAGAGAAAATAGAAGGCTTTTTGACCCTTATGACCCTTAATTAATAACTAATTACCAAATTGCCCTTCATTCAAAACTATTTCGAAAATTTACCCTCCCCAACAAACATAACACCAATCTGCCCCTGTTTGACCGTTGACCACGAAGCCTACCCGGATAATTTTTGAAACTTTTTATCTACCCGAGTATGTAGGGGTGTACCCGGGTAGAGTTCTTGAATCTGGAAAAATGGTTGAATTATTTACCCGGGTATGGAGCAGTGTACCCGGGTAAACATTGACGGTAGGGTTTTAAAATACCCCAGCAGCCCCATTTCGAAAACCCACAAAAGGGGTACCCGAGTAGAGCTGCTGGAGGAGTGTCTTCTTGAGCGATTTCAGGCATAATCTTGCACCAATTCGTCTTGTTTCTGATCATCATTCGCGGCGCTCATGTCAGCCTCAAAATTACCGTCCACGTCAGTGTCTGACGAATCACCTTCTGGAATAGCACTTTCAGGTTCTCCCTCATCTTCGTTGTCCACATAGTCCTCGTCTTCATCCTCATCCAATGCTACCTGAGGAGGTGCAGAAGATCGTACAACTGTATCTTCTTGACCGGTACAGTGTGCAGTAGTGGTTGTATGCACCGGTAAAGATGAAGATTGACCAACATCAACTTCAACATATATCTCAATATATTTTAATACTTTACATTCAACAAACGCATCTGTTACGAACTCCACATCTTCATCATCATTTATATCGTTTCCAATGTAGTATATTGTATCCATATCCACTACAGTCTCTAACATGGCTATCATGCGGTGGATGAAATGTATGCCTTCTGACCCCATTTTTTGAAGAATTCTCTCCTTCAGTTCATTGCATGTAGTGCCCACTTTGATTTTCATCGTTTTTGTTTTTCCTTCAAATCGGACACCGTTTGGACCTTCAAAATGCCTCCCATTGTAGTAAATAACTATAGGAACCATGTTTGGACTTGAACTCATCTTTCATACAAAAATTAGATCTAGGTTTTGGGTTTGGAGGTTGGTTCGGATTTTTGAGCACAAAATGGGAGTGTGGAGATGTAATCTCAATGTCCCACCAAGATTCAGCTTTCTGAAATGATGAGATGAAATATGTGTGATGTTTCGGATTAGAGAGGGTAAGAGAGAGAGATTTGGGGTTTCAAAAACCCTATACCTCGCAACAATGGCCGAAACCCATACATATTGGGGTTTCTGGACGCGATTTACCCGGGTACACTGCTCCATACCCGGGTAAATAATTCAACCATTTTCCCAGATTCAAGAACTCTATCCCGGGTACACTCTACATACTCGGGTAGATAAAAAATTTTCAAAAATTACCCGGGTAGGTAATGGTATACCCGGGTAGACTTCGTGGTCAACGGTCAAACAGGGGCAGATTGGTGTTAAGTTTGTTGGGGAGGGTAAATTTTCGAAATAGTTTTGAATGAAGGGCAATTTGGTAATTAATTATTAATTAAGGGTCATAAGGGTCAAAAAGCCGAAAATAGAAACCCTAAACTTATATATGGAGTCAAATGGAAATACTTATTGCTTAGGTCATTTTATTGGAAATTTAACCAGGAGGGAAAGCATCAGTGTTAGAAGCGCTACAGAAAGAGCATGAGGAGAAAAATTTGAAAATTCAAAAGCTGAAGAGACAGATTGAATTGACAAAGCAGCGGTTGGAAAAGAAAAAGATGGAGTACACAGAGGAGCAAATGGGAGGTTTCAATACTTTAAGCAAGAAATATAACAGTCTCAGAGAGGAATACAATGCAATGCTAGCTGAAAAGTTAAGGGAATCAAAGTAGGGTTTTATTAATGTTATGTAACATAATTTAAGTGTTGTTTCCAACACACATAATAAGAGGGAGAGAGAAAGTGGAATAATGTGTGTGTAGGAAAGTGAGGTTATATTATGTTACATGATAAACATAAAACCCATGAAAGTAACTTCCCCTCTCAAATAAATATGTAAATCTCAAACAATGACCTGTCAATGTAACTTCTCAGTACTTCAACTTCAAGTTATGAATATATCTAATCAAAGTATCGCTTTTCAACTTATTTTTCATGTAGAATTCTTATTGTGATTGTTAAATGGTGAGATAATATCTTAATATATGACTTTATCGTTTAAATATTTTAATTTCTTAATCAATTATACGTAGAAGTCTTTTTTTTTTTTTTTTTTTAAGGGGCAAAGCCCCAAACAGAGAACAACAGAAAAAAGCAGAAAAAAAGAAAAAACCAGTAACAGAAACAGAATGGACTAGGCAGGAGCATAAGGTGAACACATGAAACCTGTATGGTATGGGTGATATGAATTTAATTGCATAAGATGAATAAAATATTTGAAAATCACATTAAGTTGATTTTTTTCTTTCGAAAAATACATTAATACGAGTGTTTAACCATAAATAAGGGTAAAGTTCAAATATATTAAAGATGTTTTGATGTACCCAGAGTTGACGTAGATGCAATAAGGACACCAAAGTGAGTATCTCCTGGACTCGGAATTGATTGAAATTTGACATGTTTCAAAGGCTAATATTTAGAAAGTAATTCGAGTTTTTTTTTTAATTTTTTAATTATTAGGTTAATTTATTTTAACTATTTGTTAATTTTAGGATTTTTAATACTAATTGATTTGTAATCGGTTGATTTTTTATTTTAGAGTAATATCCTTCTTCTTCTTTTTCTAAGAGCGTTAAATCCTGATTGAATTGTAATAACTTATCATTTTCTTTTAATTATTTGACATCATATACAAGGTGTTATTATATGTTCCTTTGTGGAAGATATTTTGTAAACCCTAATTAAGAATAAATAAGTTCTCTTTTTAAAATCCAAATATTCTATTTAGCTTCAGTTATATTCTAAAATCCAAATTCTCTTTTTACTACTTATCTATCCCGCAAGAGCTTGTTTTTGGTGGACTTGAGCTTGTACTTCCTTTTCAAAAATAGGAGAAAAAAATTGGGAGGGAATTTAGAAAAAAAAATAGAGATATAAATAGAAGAAAATATTTTTTTTTTTAGTAAAGGATCACCAAAGCTGCTCATTTGTCATCCGTTTTACTTTAAGGTGTGTTTGGTAGGAGGTGAAATTTTTTTTTCTAGAAAAATAGGGTAGAGAAAATTATTTGCCTATGTTTGGTAGGAGGTGAAGTAAAAATATGACTGAGAAATTTTTTTTCTCATCATTTGTTTTTCTATGTAAAATGGTTGGAAAAGATTACTATTGAAAGGGTGGAAGTGTTTTTGTCCATGTAGTGGAAAAATTAACACAACATCATTAAAATTAACTCAACATTTCTGAAAAAAATATGATCTACCAAACACTTTTTAGTAACTTACCAAGAAAAAAAAATTTCTCATTATATTTCTGGAAATTATTTTTTCTCGGTAAAAAATATTTATCCTCTTCCAAACGTCCCCTTAAGATCACTTATCCAATTAACCGCAAAAAAAAAAATCATGCTTTTGTAGAAGTTGCACATTCTTTTATAATTTTGCTTAATTAAAAATGGGTTTTATAAGAGTTATGTTGTAGAAAAATTGATTGTGTCATGTTAATGAGATTCGTTTTTCGTGCCTTAGTTTTTTTTTTTTTTTTTTTTTGCTTCAAAAAATGCAGAGCCCATAAAATATTATGTGTGTAGAAAATTTTACCAAGTCATGTTAAACGACAAATAAAAACCCCATTAAAAATACATCATGTTAGAATCATAATTTAAAAGGAGGCATGGCGAAAGGTGGAATAGTAATAAATAGTGTAATTGAGGCAATATTATAAATGGGAAAAATTAGTATTATGTAACATGATATAAATTTTTTTACCTATTGATCCATTGGTTTTCACACCAACATTTTTTATTTTTATTACATGTATGGGACCCACATACATTTTTGTTTAAGTAAAAAAAATTGTTTAGATTATGTTACAAGATGGTAATTTTACCCATTATAAATTTATTGGTGATTAGTGATTACTTCAATTGGATGGGAAGCACGCGCGAAATAGTAAATTACACATGATTCTATTTGTTGCTTACATTTCACTGGTAGTTTTAAAATAAATAAAATTTTAAAATATAAAGCTAAATAACAATATTTAAAACATTTTTAAATCTCTGAATTTCTTTAATTAAATAAGTATGAATTGAAGTTTCAGAAAATTCAGCCAATAATAAATTCAGCATCTACTTCTTTTCTCATGAATCTGGTATGTATTTATTTAAGTGAAAAATATTTCCACTCACATAAAAATAAGTGTGTCTCATTATAAAGAGAAAAAGTAAAAATAAAAAATCAATGGAACCCACAATTTTTTATAAAAATATGGCACATAAATGTTTTCTACGGTAAAATTAGAAATGCTTTATCCTTTTTTAAACAAGGGGAATGCATCGGTCCTTTAACAGGAAAAGCAAGACAATTCCTGATACATTGGAAATTGTTCTTGCATTCTTTTTAATTTTTTTTTATAATGGAGCCCACCAAAATTTATTAGTACAGGAAAAAAAATTTATTGTCCTGTTGAAGAACACAAATATTTCCCTTTAAACAATGAAAAGAAAACACATAAGTAAACTGTGATCTTCAGTACATGTATAATGTAATTTACGATATAAATAAGCTTTGACTAGAAACATCAAGAAAATGTTACATCAAAACCGAAACATGGGCACACATGGCACACTTATTCAAAGTAAATAAAATTTAGGTTCTTATACTTGTCAGTTTTTCAATTGAAATTGACTTGGTATTTAGCAGCTTTGTCAGGACTGAATAGACCAAAATGTCGCTCAGTTTCCGCACCGGGCTTCTTGTTTTCATCAAACATGGCAAACAAGTAAGTCTCTATAGGCCCACCAGGCCTCTTCGGAGTCCCGCTCCCACCCTTGGCGTGATTAATCAAATTAGCATAGTAAGTGGCTGCATTTTCATTCGTGGCTCCATCTCCACCTTCAGATGGCCACCCACTCTCAGATACAACAATCTCCAAATTGGATGCTCCTACTTTCTCAAGAGCAGCATATATTGAATCCAACATAGCATCAAAGAGGTTTTGGTACCCAACATCATTGTCTCCTTGTTGGGTAAAAAGAGCATAGGCAAGACTAATGCTTTGTTGATTATTAGCATAAGCGAAGTAAGGGTAAACATTGGCAAGAAGTGGTGCCCCATTGTTCACTAGGAAACTTATAATGGGCTTTATATATGGGCTTGCATTGTCACTAAAAATGCCATCATTGGGTGGGTATGATTTATCAATTAGACTAGAGTCTATTGCTGTTGAGACTTTGATTTGGCCTTGTAAATTGGATGATGAAATTGCATTTTGAATGTTCTGCATGGCAGGTAGAATATACTGAGCCTCATTGTCACCAGGGTGGATTTCATTTCCAACAGCAATGTACTTGAATTTGACATCTTGTGAATAGGGTGTCACATATTTATTGACCCAATCTGTGGCAACATTGGCATCTGTAAGAGATTGAAGTGTTTCCTTAGCCACATCAAGGATCAACTCTATGTTTGAACCTCTAAGGGCTTTGAGTGCATCTTCATCTGGGTAGTATATCCGCATTCTACCAATTCCATTTGTTTTATATAAATCCACAACTTCTTGCCTTGATGGTAGATTACCACCGTTTACTCCATAGCAAACTCCTATGGCTTGTGCAGCTGCATAATTTTGAACTAATTATAGTAAGTTATTCTGAGAGGATATAAAAGACTATGACTATTTGGAAAAATTACGAGACAATTTGGCATGCCATTAGCCCAGAATTGTAAAGAACTTTGGGATACACCACCTCAAAAGCTAATTCAAAGGGTAGGAGTGCTCAAGGCCATGTAAAAGAACTTTGAGATACACCACTCCAAGAGCTAGCTCAAAGGGTGAGAGTGTATAAAGCCTTATAAACTCCACATTAATTGCTCATACAATTAATGTGAAACTATATATCTCAACAAGAATAATAAGACGAAATTGCAATCGAAATTTTGGGTTACAAGTTTCCACAGTAAAATTTTAAAGGAAATTCTAAAATTTTGGCAATTTTTATTTTGCAAATTGTTGTGTTCCTTTAATAAGAAATATTTTTGGGTTACGATATTGACTAAATCAAAAACACTTTAAATATAAAACAATTATATAGCACAAACATTTATAATGAAAAATGTTAGGGGATCAAAATGTTAGGAGAAACTTATATTTATAAATTTTTGTTTATAAATTCTTACAAATTATACTGTGTAGTACATTCTAGCATACAATGTATTACCCCTAATACATAGTGTCGTTTGTAAATTTTTTTTTTTATAAATATAATCATTCTTATATACATACAAGAAAAAAAGTATTTTAATTATGGGAAAAAAGTTTTCGATGTTACTTTAGACAACTTTGTCTAATGTTCATCGAAACGACGTCATTTTGGGGTTGAAAAATTAAAAAATTCGAATGATAAAGACTATTATAACCCTGAAATAAATTAAAATTACAAAAAGACCATGATTTTCGTCCCAAAACGACGTCGTTTCGATGAATATTAGATAAAGTTATCTAAAGTAACTTTAGAAAAAAATCAAACCCTTTTATTATTCACACCTACTCAATTTTTTATTTTATTTTGAAGACACTCTAATGCGATTTAAATCCTATACAAATGTATAAAAAACAATATAGTTGTTGTAATCTCATATTGACCCAGATTCTCAAGGTAGCCATATAATAACATTGATTAAATAATGAATACCAGTGGAAATAATTTAAAATATACATACATATTATATAATACAATAAGTTACACAAATATTTAGTCAAGATTTCTTCGGTTATTAGTGGTTTAGTGGTAACATTTCCCCCACTGGCGACAATATGGATCTGTCATTGGTGAATGAAGTTTTACACCTAAATAAGTGTAAACTCGTTTTTTTTATAAAGACATTGAATGAAATGCAAGTACAATGAGTAAAGCAAAATGTAAAATTAGAATATACGAAAATGTCTCAGATAAATAAATGTTCTAAAAATAATATTCTATTGATCTCCTAGTGTGCAGTGCACCTATATGATTTAGTATAAATAATCAAATGAATACAAGTTCGATTCAGTAGAATTGAACTTCACTTAGTAGTATAAAGAAAAGGAACAAAAAAACCATGCAGGTGTGTTACAGTGTTAGTGTTAGAGAAGGAAAGAGCCATATAGACCTGTAAATTCTGGTCCAATGGACGATAGTACTAATATTCCAACAAGCAGAAGCAGCGATATGGCAGACATTGCAGTGTTGCTTTTGAAGAATATATTGATTGATTATTGGATTATACCAAAATGTTAACCAAATCTTATTCTTATTAACACACAACGTTGATATCTTTCCAATGGCGCCTAACCGATATTTATATGCACAAAGAAGGCCAATATTTTGCATGGTATGGTATAAACCCAATAACAAAGACTTTGAACCCCGTCAATCACTCATTAGAAGTTCATGAATTTGTTTTGAATTCCAACCATTTTTCCGGTGAAAAACGTGTACAAATTAAATTCATTGATTCATGGCCACATACAAACAAAAATATTATTAATTGGTGAGACCATTCTGCATACTAGTCAGCCTAACGTGACAGAAGCGTTCAAAGTCTGGTGTTGTTTTCTTCTCGAAAGTCTATGCAACTAATATAATTATATAACTCTATATGGATTCATACAATTTCGCAAGAGGTCGGAACTTGGAGGTTTTTAAGTTCTAACCCACTTGTTTGGGATTTTGCTAATTCTGAATATTTTACAAAAACCCTTCAATATTGCAAAGAACCATTTAAATTTAAAATTTTAGGTTGTTACGTGAGCTTATACAAATAGTTTTTATATTGTATTTTTGTAACACGTTTCTCGTGTAAGACCACATTGAATCAAAGTCGTTTTTATTTAATTGTAAATGTTGTAACACTATGAAAAGAATCATATTAAAATACATGCATCCACCGGTCAATTATCATCTATTTTAATATTTTTTTAAAAAGATAATAGTGACGGCTAGAAGAAACCATTTTACAGAAACTAGTACCTACGGAGTTTTTTTTTTTTGTTTTTTGTTGGAAATATTTCATTGGTTTATCGTTTCACAATTAATCCGATTCAGGACGGGTTCATAATTAAGGTTTTAAACCCCTTCCAAAAATGATACTGAATAGGATCGAATACATGCTCTCATTCTCACCTGCTAAGCTCTCATACGCCAATTGAGCTGCAACCATTTGATACCTGTGGAGTTTTCTGTAAAATGTTCATGCAGCCCAGACCAGGGTAATGAAATGATGCAAAAATACAACGAGAAACCATGGCTGATTAATTAACGATATAATTTTAATACCAGACTTGCATTTTTATAAAAATTAAAATAAAATATTTTTATTTCTTTGTATAACCCGTTTCCCACAAAAAATTATATTCATTTAAACTCACTTTGAACGGGTGATGAATCAAGTAACAGTGACTATTTTGTCACGCTTCATCAAATTATTTATCAGACTGCCACGCCACAGTGTAGCGAAATATGCCATGTCAGGCTGCCAGCAGTAATGACACATGTCAAGCATGCAGCAATACAAGCATAATTCGTTACACAGTGTAGCGAATTACTGTCAACTTGACAAGTGTCATTCTTGCTGACTATAACATGGCCACAGTGTAGCGAAATATGTCATGTCAGGCTGCCAGCAGTAATGACACATGTCAAGCATGCAGCAATACAAGCATAATTCGTTACACAGTGTAGCGAATTACTGTCAACTTGACAAGTGTCATTCTTGCTGACTATAACATGCTGCCAGCAGTTCGCTACACAGTGTAGCGAATTATATTCCTGTCCTATGAATCAACCAGTTATATTCCTTAAAATTATATTCATTTAAACTCACAAAAATTTATATTCATCACGGTTCACAAATTATTTCCAATGTTGTAACTGGGATTTGAACTTGTGTCACGAGGTTGGCAAACATAATCACTTACCATTAAGCTACATTTTTTTTTGGATACGAGCACGAGGCTATATTTAGTTACTATTAGGCTACATTTTTTTTTTGGTATAAGCACTAGGCTACATTTAGTTGTTAGTTAATATGCACCATTTAATATATTTATCATATAATTTAATAGAATTATTTCAAAAGTTGCACCTAGTGGGATTGAGCCTTGATCATGGAGATAAAAAGCATAATACTTATTACTAGACTACATGCATTAGGTTGTTACTTAGCATGCACCATTTAAAATATTTATTATATAATTGAGTATAAAATATAAATTTATATACATACTCGGGGTTATGCGGTTAAACCAGTGAGACCCAGTGACCCGGTATCCCAACTGAGTCAATGATCGGTTCAGGTTTAATAATATTGGTCTCATCTATATTTTTCTCTCCTCTTGTTTATGGATCCCACCTGTGATTTTTTTTCTGCTACAGGAGATAATTCTTCTACTATAATAGGAGGAATTGATTTTAGATAAATTTTATGTATGATTTAATGTTTCTCACTTAACTAGAGATAAAATTATTCCATGTGATCTCAAAACAATTTGTTTTGGGTTGGAAAAATGAGAAAGATTATACTTACAACCCATTTTTATTTACAATCTCTTACAATTATATATTAACCGTTGATTTTCACCAATCAACGATTATCATTTATTGTGAATTAATAATTAATTATTGAGTTTGATTTAAGAAAATAATAACCGTTAATTGGCAAAAATTAACGGTTAAATATAGTTGTAAATGAAAATAGGTTGTAAGTATAACCTTTCTCTGGGAAAATATACATTTATTTTATTTTATTTTATTTTGTATTATGTTAATCTTTATCTTGATAAAAAAAATTTCCTTGACCTAAAATAAAATTTTTATATTCAAATGAGATAATCTAATTTTCATTAATAGCAGAAATATTAAATCCATTATATATATATATATATATATAAAAATAAATAAAGGAAGGGAAATATTAACTTCATGTGATAGGAGACAATAAGTCTTTCTTACACACTTTTTTTTTTTTTTATAAACAAAAGGGGATTAGACCCCAGCAAGCAAAAACGAAACAAACTAACAAGGAAGAGTAACTAGATGTTCTCTCCCTACCGACGCAAGGTTCGCCATAAATAACAGAAAAATTCCACTTGGAGGTTCCTCAAAGAAAATCTGATCAACCTGCTCCGCTGAGTTTAACAAATAATTTGCCAGCCAATCTGCTCACATATTCCCTTCCCTAAAAGTATGTTGAATTTGAACTTCCCATTCCTTTCCAATCCACGTTCGTATACGAGATAGCAAGTGCTCCTCACGAACTGTTGAACCTTGTTTGGTGAGCCCAGTGATTGCCGTAAGCGAATCACTTTCCAGAATGACCCTTTTATAGCCAGCATCCTCAAGGCCATGAAGTATACCCCAAAGTTTCGACTTAAAAGCTGAGCAAAAACCCAGTCTAAAAGAGAAATCTATTAACCAATTACCTTGTGAATTCCTTATCACCCCCTACCCCCGCGCATGCAGCCAAACCCGAATTATCACGAGTTGCTTCATCCGTGTTTATTTTTACAAAACCTTCTAATTAAGGGAATTGCCAGCAAATATTTAAATCACCATATCCAATTTTCTTGCTATAACTACCCGCTTCAATATAACTAACCTCTATATCCTGCACCAACTTTCTGATTATTTCAATCTAGAACTCCAAAGGAGGATTTTCTTGATCATGGTTTTGCATATTTCTCCAACACCATATTTTTCGATAGGTTACCAAAAATGTTGTTCGCCACCTCTCATGCACACCGCTTGGAACGTTCACAATGTTGCTGGACAACCATTGTTTAAGGTCTTGATTGAAAAAATCTGCTGTCAAATAAGATGGGATGAGACGATCCCAAATTCTTTTTACATTATTAAAATCTCTCAAAGCATGCACTATTCTTTCATCATTTTCCCTACAACACGGACAGCTACTATCACCTTCATTCCACCTAGCAATTCTACTCTTAGTTAATAATCGATGATGCAACAATTTCCAACCAAAAATTTTCACCTTCTGTGGACCCTCCCAAGACCAAAGACAATTCCACATTTTTCTAGATTCTTCATCCACGTTTCCTTGACCAGCAATACAATTATAAATATCTTTAACAGTGACTGTATTACTGTTAGTAAAACTCCATATCAACCTATCAGGTCCATCTTCATGTTTTGGTGGCAGCATACTCTGAATCTTATTAGAAATTTGGCTTGGAAGCATTCACCGAATCAGCCCCATATCCCAATCTCTAGAGGGGGTGACCATATCAGCCACCCTTAAATTGTCACTACTCAAACTGAACTCACCTACAACCAGCTCCCTCAAAGAACTTTCCATCGGAAGCCATTTATCACACCAAAACCGAATATACCTTCCATTACCCAAATCCCACATCAAGTTTCCTTCCATTACCCATATTTTCCCTTCCATTACCCAAAGTCTTTCTTACAAATGTGAGACCCACTTTATTTTTTTATTCTTTTTTTCTGTACAGCAGAACCTATCTAAGTTTATAAGTACAATACGAGAAACTTTATCTCCTATTACATGAGAAAATATAATACCATAAAAGAAACTTTAAAACGATACCATTGCTTTAATGAAATTTAGGGTCAACGAAGGTCGTCTTTATTTTAAAAATAAACCATTAATTTAGGGAAAAATATTTCTTCAGTCACTGGAGATAAAATTATCTCCAGTGAGCTCAAAACAACGTTGTTTTGGATTATAAAATTAAAAAATTGTAATGATAAAGACTATTATATCCCTGCAATATATTAGAATTACAAAAATATATTAATTTCCGCCCCAAAATAATATCATTTTGGACTCACCAAAAATAACTTATCTCAGAAATCATTTACCCTTCAATTTATTACTTATTTATAAAAAGTCATGTCGAACCCAAATAACGGGGTTATCATAAATGGAAGTTCGGCGAGTTGCACTACCTCGATATGTGCATTCTAGCTTGTTATTGACTACGTTCCAGCGATTTTATTTTTTATTTTTTTAGTAAATTCAAACGATTTTATTTTGCGTGATAATCGGGTCATCCTTGCAATATTTAATATATTTATAAGCTACAAAATATTAAACAGCGATTTTATTGAATCACATGGCCTCAGTTACATTTTCTAAAATAAATTAATTAATAGGTTATTTTGATATTTGGTTGAGTTTTTATTTTTTAATCAATGATTAAATTATTACTCTCTCTCTTTTTAC